CTAATCTACCTGGTTACAGATTAGAATATGCGAAGAAAAGTTGGCTTTCGAGGAATCTCTTGTTTCACAATTGTTGTGCTTAATTTCATTTCGAGTGAAAGCGTTTGGTGAAGAGACTCGAAGGTCGATTCCACCAGAAGAGGACGGCCGATTTCTCTTGGCCAGTTGTCGATAGGGTTTACTGGAACATTCATGTTGATGCTACTTCCGAAGTAATCTTCTTCGATTCCGGTGAAAAATGTGCTAAGGTATCGTCAGTTTTAGGACGAGCATCATCAGAGCATTGTTTCATCTTAACAACCAAATGCAAGTCAACGAGTGAGGTTTAAACCTTGTCCTGAAGATGTTCGTCATAAAACGAACGAAGGCCCAGCACGTCGAAGGAGATTACTTCGAAAACAGCATTAACATGAATGTTCCAGTAAAGCCAATCGACAATTGGTCAAGATGAATCCGCCGTCGTCTTCTGGTGGAGTCGACCTTGAAATCTCTTCACCAAACACTTTCACTCTAAATGGAAGTAAGCCCAATAATACAGATTAGAAATCATAACAACCATTAAAGTTTTAAGAGGTTGTTTGACCTTGTTTTCGCAACATGGTCACATTGGTAGGAAGACCTATTGTCTGCACGATCATTTCCAAAGTTGAACCGACCACACAAAAGGCCACGCCATCTTGGTCTTCATACGTTAAAGTTTTTATTTCGCACTAAAGTACATGATGATTCATGCCGTACTGTATCCGCTTGGCAGTAATATGACGTTCACATTGCTGCAGTCCACGAAATATCCTCCAAAGTTTCGGACGAAGTTGGAGTTAGCTTTTGTTCGTCATGCCGCATGACGAACATAGTCAAAAAAGTCTCAAGTAAACATTAAATCATTGCGAGAAAAATTTTTATATATAAATTCGAGTGTATCTGCGTGTGTATATATGTTAACGTCTGTACACAATTATGCTGAATTATGACCGGTTTTGCATACAGTTGTTAACGTGCACACACACGCGGACACTTTCAGGTGATTGTTCGAAACCCGCATTATCTTCGTATATACAGAAAAGAACTGGTGCCCACTGAAGGTCAGGCAATGGAGTGGGCATGTCTCCACATCTGGCCCCTTTGCGGCTTCGGTCTGGACAGTCGAGTGGCGCCACGTTTGGTAACCACTGGCGAGGCATATCGGCTGTTGGTGCTACAGGATCTGATGGTTGAGAGAATGAAGCAAGATGCCAGCCAACGTAGAGCCGGATCTTCTGATCGGTTAAAAGATCAACATCGGAGTCTGGATCCATTCCTTTCTACTCGCGCACTCTTCTAAGCTTCCATTTACCGTTTTGCAAGACCTAGACTTGAAGCGAAAAGGTCACCCTAAGCTACGTGTTTGCAACCAAAGTCCAATGGCCTACTTTGAAATCAACTTTGCCGTCTTTCTAGCATTGCCCTGTCGAAAGTACAGCATTTTTCGAATTAAGTATTGTTTTCGTAACTACCAGTAAATCAGTAATATAATAAATATTCACACAATTTCGTTTAAGGTGATAAAGGACTGGTAGAAGAAGAATTTTCCCACAATGTTATGATTTGAGCTGACGTTTCCATTCAATTTCACATAGCCCTGCTTTCCCAAAATTTCTTCTCATCCAGGCACCAGTGGACTGCAGTTTCGACATCGTATCGGTCTTATAAGCCCTCCCAGCGGGAGTCGAACCGCGATGGGGCAGAATGGGAGCTTGACACGCTAACCAATCGGCTACACTGTCACGAGCACCTTTTGGGTCACAGGACAAATGTGAATTTTCAAGGTAGGGCCAGGCCTTTTTGCCATATCATATTCTTTTGGTGGGATTTTCGATGAAGTAAACGTATGTTTTGCTATATCAATCGACTACTATACTTAATTTTTCCAATAAACTATTGTTT